GGGGGGGGGTTCTACCCTCTATTTGTTTTGTTGTTTCACCCCCACCTGCAACGTTTCTACTCTCCCCACCCCCTCCCCCATCAGGTGGTTATTTTATTGGTAGGTGCCGTTGTTGTTTACGCTTCATTCTCTTCCTAATGTCATCGAGAGAGGTGGGAGAGTGGGCGATCGGCTGGTACTATGCTGTGGTTTGCTCCTTATTTCGTTTCGAACATCTATCGTACTTATCCCTCTTCTTTCTTTTTTTGGTGTATGTTACTCTCTTGAACGCATGTAATATTTGACATTTTTGTGTTGCCATTTGTCGTAAAACTGTTTTTATTAATATACACGCAAGTGGGAGATTTCACATCACGGTCATTTGTTTTCTTAAAGTCAAGGCCCCCTGATACATACAGTTACTTGGAAGCTCTAAAAAGAATGTACTGTACAGCAGCAGTAACTACAAACTTCTACAGCAACTACAACAACATCCAATTTGTACAGACGAAGAAGCAGTAGCAACAGCAGTAGCGACAAACTGTACAGCAACAGCAGTAGCGACAAACTGTACAGCAACAGCTGCAAATAAAATTACACAACAGTCAGTAGCAAAACTGTACCACTTGCCACAGCAGCAAACCAAACCATAAAATATAGCAGCAGCAGCAGCAACTACAACAACAATTTTACAACAGCAACAGCACATTGTACATTGGCAGGCAGCAGTGACAACTAACTACTTTAATGATAACATTAACAACATAGGCAACTCTAACAAGAAAAAATGCATAATAATGGTATCCAGACTGAATTATAAAATAAAAAATAAACCAGTCAGTAGCAAACTGTACACTTGCAGCTACAGCAAACCATAAAATATAGCAGCAGAAACAACAACAGCAACAGTTATACACAACAGCAGCAAACTGTACATCGGCAGGCGGCAGCGACAACTACATCAACAACAGCACTAACAAGAAAGAAAAAAAAAGATTTCTAATAGCATCCAGACTAAATAAACAGTCAGGGCAGCGGCCTTCTTTCCTTTCTTTCTTTCTTTCTTTCTTTCTTTCTTTCTTTCTTTCTTTCTTTCTTTCTTTTTCTTTCTTTTTCTTTCTTTCCTTTCTTTCCTTTCTTTCTTTCTTTCTTTCTTTCTGCCTGTCGTTGGTTGTTGTGGCTAGCGTGTGATGATATAACACATAACACATTGATGGCGGTGGTGGTAGAGACGGCGGCGGGGGGCCCTGATAAGAGAGGAGTCAGTG